TTTAAATAAATGGTCGAATTACTTTTGTTTCTTTTCTCTTTTACGATTTTTAATATTTTTCTATGTTTTTATTTTCATTGCCGGGAACATAAAATAGCAAGTGTATTCCCCCTTGAATTAAATGTCGTAAAAAAATAAAGAAATTAAGGGATATTATGTTTTTCCCTTCTCCCCTACTGGTCGTAATCCCTTTTCCCCATCTTTAATTATGGTACTAAAATAGACGAAAATTTGAGGCCCCATTTCGGCCCCGATCGTATGCCGCAAAAAATGTGGCTGCGAGGTCAGTTCCCGCGATGCCTCTCCGCGGCAAGCCAATGCGGGTCTAACCCTCTGAACGGTCAGCAATGACGGTCCGTTGATGTGCCGAGTGCAACCTCCCATCTCGCCATCTTTGAGGGTTACCGGTAAGGTTCAGCGCGCCCAAAATCAAGGGCGCCCTGAGCTCCCCTAATCTCCGCTGCCTAGTCTAACAAGAGTACCGTCAAAACTCAGACTCATCTGTGCGCCTAAGTCCCAAACCCGTAGATTTCAGGTGGTGCACTGCTTGTGGCCGCCTGACAACGCGACCTGGGGGCCCTATTCCAACCTCGGGTCCCGTGAGGGGCCCGTGTGTAGGCTTTTAGCATGTAACAGTAAGGCAGCCAAATGGCTGGATGGTTTAGTCGCAAAGGCCGAGCACGGACGACACATGGCAGACTGGGCTAAGACCATTACGTTAGACAAGTTTTTAGAAATGGTAGAAGCTCGGCAGCACAATCCACAACAGGCACAAATTGTTACTGATGCGATGCACAGACTAGACCAAAGAAAGTTCAAGTCAATCAGAGAGCTTACGACTATCGTGGAGAGCCTCATCGTCGTTCCTGGCGTAAACTACGATGACCAGTTCTTGTTGACCACGTTTGTGAGATGTCTCCCAGAGAATCTCAAAAATTTGCTTGCCAGCGAGGCTCGCCTCGAGTATCACTCATTTGAGACCTTATCTAGAAAAGCCTTAGATTTAGAGGCCACTCTAGGAAGTGCGCAACCTACTTCAGTGGACGCGAGGAAGAAGAAGAGTCCACATGAATGGAAGAAGAAGGGGAGCAAATTGATGATGGTTGAGTCCGATGGGACTCAAACAGAGATCGAAGAGCTCACAGACCTGTTGGACTATTCAGAGTACGACGGCGAGGAGATCGCTGAGGGTAGCACCCTCTCCGCAGTAGTAAAGACTAAGGCAGGTGGCCGAGGGAAGGGCCATCAAAAGAGTCAAGGGCAGGCCGCCTCAAATCAGACCAAAGTTGCTGATTGGATCAAGGCGGGTCTTGATCAGGAAGTGTGGCGGGACCGTAGAGTGCATGGTGCTTGCATCAGCTGTGGTGAATACAGACACACCCAGTATAAGTGCAAGAACGCAAAGGTCACACAGAAGATACCTCCTAAGGTGGGGGCACCTTCTTCCCAGGCTTCTAGCTAGGGAAACACGTAAGGCCGGTGGAAGTTTTAGCTGCTTCTACTCAAGGTGAAGTGGGCCAGATACCCTCCCCACTTCATGAGCAGGCCATAGCTAATGACTCTTTAGTCACCGTGCAGACTCATCCAGACCAAACCATGGTCTATACGTTGGATGTGTCTGAAGCCTTAGAAGATTTGGAAAGTGAGTGGTCAAGTAAGGACCCTCGTGAATCTTGGGTGGCACTAAGGAAAGGTCCTAGATGGGAACATTTCGTTGTGGAGGTTGATGTAGGAGGCCGCAAATGTGGTGCCTTCATAGACATCGGCTCCACGCGGAACTACAAAAGCCGCGACTGTTTGGAAAGGCTGCACCTACAGGACTGGGTACAACACCTTAGTAGACCCGTAGCATCTACTTTGGCCAATAAGGTGCGCATGATTGTCACAGACTATATCAAGGATGTAGTTTGCACCTTCTCCTATGGAGGAGGGGAACTTAATCACAAGATTTCGTTCCTGGTTAGCAACGACTTACCGTTTGATATGTTGTTGGGAATGTACAAAACCTTGAGGTTGCCAAGCCCCAGTTTGACTGGTACAAGAAGGTGCTAAAGCATAAGTTGCCTGATGGAAGAACACTTAGACTGACTAAGTTCAAAGCCTGTAGTATAATCGATACCTATGGTTGCTTGTGTGCATTAGCGTTCTATAACTATTATAAACAGAACCAAGAGGAGGGTATGTACCTAGTGTATGTCTTTGAGAAAGGGGCGGCCGTTAAAACACCCCTAGAGATAGAACACGTCGTTGCTAAGTTCCCTGATCTATTTAAGGAGCCTACAGGAGTCGTAGAGAGGGAGATTGTCCACGCCATATAAATCATTCGAGGGAGTAAAACCCCAAAGGGAAGGATCTATAGGATGGCTCCGGCCGAGTTGGACGAGCTTCGGCGACAACTAAAAGAACTTACAGAGAAGGGATGGATCCGGCCTAGTACTTCCCCCTACGGATCTCCAGTACTATTTGTACCAAAGAAGGGGGGCACATTGAGGATGTGCATTGATTATAGAGGTCTCAATGCCATCACAGTAAAGAACGCAGAGCCTCTACCTCGCATAGCCGACCTATTGGATAGGGTGCAGGGATGTAAGTACTATAGCAAGATAGACTTGAAATCCGGCTACCATCAGATTGCAATAAGACCTGAGGATCAGCACAAGACTGCTTTTCAGACCAGATACGGTCTGTATGAGTTTGTAGTGATGCCCTTTGGCCTTTGAAATGCGCCGGGTACATTCCAGCACGCCATGAATAGGATCTTCCATGACCACTTAGCTAAGTTTGTCGTAGTCTACCTTGACGATATTCTTATCTTTAGTAAGTCTGTCGAAGAGCATGCACAACACGTTGAGACTGTACTTTCACTCTTACGACAACACAAGTATAAGGTCAACCTAGAGAAATGTGAGTTCAGACGCACTAAGATCTTATACTTGGGTCATGAAGTATCCGCGGAAGGTATTAGGCCGGAAGATGCGAAGGTGGCTAGTATCAGGGACTGGCCACGACCTCAAACTGTTACGGAGGTCAGATCTTTCTTAGGAATGTGCGGCTACTATAGGAACTTTGTGAAGAATTATTCCACAGTCGCCTCACCTTTGAATGATCTAACTCGACTTGACACGCCGTGGGACTGGAGTGATGAGTGCGAGGCTGCTTTCAAATGATTGAAGCATGCACTCATGAATCATGAGGTTCTCATGGTACCCGATCCTCAGAAGCCATTCATAGTGACCACTGACACAAGCCAATACGGCATTGGCGCAGTGCTGGCTCAGCAGGATGGGAAGAAGTTGAGGCCGATTGAGTACATGAGCAAGAAAATGCCATCAAAGAAACTGGCAAAGTCAACCTATGAAAGGGAACTCTATGCTCTCTACAAAGCACTTGTTCATTGGAGGCACTTTCTATTGGGAAGGTTCTTCTATTTGAGAACCGACCATCAGACCCTCAAATGGATCAAGACTCAACCGGCTCTCTCTGATGCACTCAAGCGATGGATTGAGATCATGGATCAGTATGACTTCAAGCTAGAGTATCTGAAGGGAGAGCACAACAAGGTTGCAGATGCGTTGTCACGTAGAGCAGACTACCTAGGCGCGCTAGTTTCTGACTTTGGTGTATCTGAGGAACTAACTCAATCGCTGGTGGGAGCCTATCAGGAAGACCCTCTCACGATGGACATCATACGCAAACTTCAGGCAAAAGACAAGGCCACAGAAAATGAGTTTGTGATGCTGGACGGGCTTCTCTTTCTCGATAAGGCCGGATTTAAGAGATTAGTTGTACCATCTAGTGAACGCTTGCGTAGTTTATTCTTAGGAGAATGTCATGACACAACCGGACACTTTGGCTACAAAAAGACGAGTGTCAATCTAGTACAACGATTTTGGTGGCCTGGAATGCTAGATGACGCAAAGAAGTATGTAGAGACCTGTCAGGTCTGTCAGCGGGATAAGCCGCGAACTCAAGCACCGCTTGGGTTGCTGAAGCCCTTACCTATCCCCGCTGGTCCAGGACAGAGTGTTTCCATGGACTTCATGAACACCCTGGTGACCCGTAGGAGTGGCAAGAGGCACATCTTTGTCATCATTGATCGATTCACCAAATATGCTAGACTAATTGCCATGCCAGAGACCGCAAGGACTGACCACGTCATCAAGTTGTTTATGGACAACTGGGTACGTGATTTTGGACTACCAAAGTCAATCGTTAGTGACAGAGATGTCCGATTCACAAGTGAGTTGTGGAAGAAGACTGCTGAGCAGATGGGCAGTCAACTTCAGATGACTTC